GCGGTCAGTCACGGCTGCCTGTACTCACCCGACAGGTTGCCGAAATCGCGGAAAATACGGAAGTCAGTGTCGGCGGGAATGAGTCCACTCTCAAACAATTCCTGCGCCAGCGACGACGCGTACGGGTGCGGCACTACACTCGCGTACATCTGTACACACACATACACATAAGTTATTATAATAAGAAAAATAGGTAGGCATTCATCATTCATGACCAAAATCAGCAAGTTTGCTCAAGGTGGATTGGCGATTTCAATAAGTCAATTTCAATATGATGTAATATGAGGAGCCCATTGCAATTTGTCGTCTACAGTAATTCCCAGGAAAGTTGTCTGTTTTACAAACTCCAATCTTTTACCATTCAATAATATGTCACATTCGTTGCTTTTAACATTTGGCAAAACAAATCTAATACATTTTGTCTTTTTATCGTTTAAGTTAACATAAGTTATTTAATGTAAACTAATTTTGAACTTTCATTAGGGCATTATTTACGTCGTCATAATTATTTGTGCGTCTATTTATTTTAAAAATTAATGAAGTGTCATCAGCAAATAATACCATCTGCGGTTCATTTTTAAATAAATGGGGCAAGACATTTATGTACGCTAAAATTAAGAATGGACCTAGTATCGAGCCCTGCGGTACACCCATAGATATGCTAGTACCCTGTGAATTTATTTTATTTACTTGTACTTTAAGTTGCCCATCCTGAAGGTATGATTTCAACAGATTTAGCGACGTCCCCCGAATGCCGTAGTGTTTCAGTTTTAGCCATAGTGTCTCATGTTCAACACAGTCAAATGCCTTCGAAATTTCACAAAATATTCCGATGGCACCCCGTGCTTCTTCCCAAGAGGCGAACACCCGCTTAATTAGAGCTACTCCCGCGTCAGTAGTGCAGCGACCTTTGGTGAATCCGTATTGTTGATCATGAAAGATAGAATTCATGTTAAAGTGACGCAACATCTGAAAAAGCATCAGCCGTACAAATAATTTGCTGAGCGCTGGTAGAATAGAGACCGGCCTATAGTTATTGGGTTCTGCGCTATCATCGGATTTAAACAATGGAACTACTATACTATGATGCATTAAATCCGGGAAAACTGCGTGATCTACACTTTTATTAAAAATGAAAGCTAAATGAGGCGCTATAGTCTCTATAAAAGACCTAAGACCTTCAGTAGACTTAACTTTGATCTCTTTGAACGCTTTAAATACTGCTCGGGGGTTTGTGAATTGAAATCGAAATTCAGAAAGGCACTCCTTGATATTACTTTTAAGAAGTTCGACGAAAAGAGTCGGAGATGATTTCAACGCTTCCGTAGTTTTAATCGGAATATTTTTAAAGAAACTTTCAAATTCTGGGCAACTTTCAAATTTGACTTGATGCGTCTATTCGCAGTATTTAGATTAAATTCAGCAATATGTGATTTATTTCTACCAGTCTCGTCTTTAATTATATGCCAGGTAGTTTTTATTTTATTTTCTGCAATCATAATTTTATTGGTAAAGTGCATGCTTACAAACTAAAAAGGCCTCACTATGATTAAATGGTTTCTACAGTAAAGCTCAAATAACCTTTCCCTACTTATACGTATACCTGGTGTAGCCCAGTCACAGAATATCAACTTGCATTGAATGTTTTTGCGTTTTATAGGGAATATTTTATCAAATTACTGCCTCGTTGGCCGAGTGGTCGCAAGTGTGACTGCCGGGGTCTCGGGTTCGATTCCCGGGTCGGGCAAAGTATTACTGGGATTTTTAAAAATCTCAGTAGTAGCACGGAGTCTGGAAATGTGCCCGGTATATGGCAATAGGCTCACCCCCTATTACATGGGACTCTTAACATAAATAGTGAAAAGTGGGTGTTACATTGTACAGTGGCATTAAGTGCCGTAATGTGCACCTCTGCCTACCCCTTCGGGGATAAAAGGCGTGATGTTATGTTTTGTTGTTTATCAAATTAAGTTTTAATAACAGACTATTCTCCAACTTTTTGATTTTTTTTAATGTTCGTATAATATCTGATTATCAAGTATAATTTTTATTTCAGCAAAATATGACCGCTTTATGCCGAAAAAAAGATATGAAAAATTTGTCGTAAAATATACGCGCCAAAACATGGACCGCCATTTTGGTGACATCAGTAGTATGAAAATATTGAAACATCAAATGGCCAAGCCATAGATTTTGTAAACAAGTTGGTTGCGTTGTGATTTTGTTGTATTTATAAAATAAAGATGAGTTTCAATACCCGTATCATTGGTGTGTTGCGTTAAATTGCAAGAATTCTACATTAAAATGTTATCTATTAAACACAAAAAGTAGTTAAAATTTGACTTGACAAGAATACTATTGTTTATTTTAGAATATTTTGATACATCCGACGTCACTCTCAAGAAAATCATGGCGGACGACGTTTTGGTCACGTGACATACAGATAATAAAACTTTAATTTTAACTTTGAAATTTAAAATTAAAACTATGTTTTTATGGAATAACAACATTTTTTTTAATTCCTCACGTTTTAAACCATACAAATAACATAACGTGTTAATTTATTGTTGATAGATGAGAATACCCTATTGACAATAGGTTGGCGTAAATCTCACTCGGGTATTCACTATGATGTATTTCACCGCATAGACCATTTTTTAAATCTGTCTAACCATAATTTATATTTTTTAAACAGTTGTGATGGTGTTAAAGCTAACTGTCAGCCCACTGTGATCAGATGATAATTTATTAAGTGAAGGTAAAGAGATCAATGACTAATACTCTGATTTAGGCCCAATGTCCACGTAACTGCACATAATATGCACGTTTTCATCAATTGATAGTTGCAAGACGCATGCTTACGTTTTGGGTAGAAACAACCAAAACTATCTCCACGGCTTGTATGCATTTCTGAGCTTATATGCATAGACGCGTCGCGTGAGTCGGCCGATAATTGTACAGAATGTGGTGCCTTAACATTGTGAGTTTTTTTTTAAGGGGGGAAAATCGTCGATTGACTGCTCCCGCCTGCGTGAGGCGGGAGGGAGTGTCAGACTCTTACTGACTAAAAACCACCCCGTTCCTTCTCCTGCACGTCGAGCCGGAGCCCCGGTTACCCGTTAGGTTCTCCGCGACTCCGAGG